AAAAAAAAAAAAAAAAAAAAATGGGTGGTGAACCACATGAACGGGAGATGAACCAAATAAATTCCAATACATGCATAGGGGAGGAGAATGTACTGAAAAAGCGCATGAATCCACCTACTCTTCATTACAATTTACAACAATCTCCACAGAAGACTTGCAAGTAGATAACTAGTTTGGTTGCCACCAAATCAACAAAATACTTCTTCCGACCAACATTAATTAGACTTAAACAATGCCAAAACTTTCTACGAGCAATCACGTTTGTCAACATATTCTCATGATTATGGACAGTTGCAATTTTAGATAAACGAATGTCCCCTTCGTTGATAATTTATCGAACAAAATGAAATCGAAAATCAATATGCTTCATACGAGCGTGATGGACTTGGTTTTTCGACAAATAAATAGCACTCTGGCTATCACAAAATACCTCTACATGTTTCTTAGCGATACGCAAGTCATTAACTAAACCATGCATTCAAATAGCTTCTTTAAAAGCTTCAGTGAATATCATATACTCTTCTTCTGTGGTAGACCATGCAATAGTAGACTGCAATGTTGAACACCAACAAACATGTCTACCCACCAGCCATAGTAAATAGATAACTAATAGTGGATCGTCGCTTATCCAAATCACCAGCATAGTCAGAATCCACATCGCTAATTACGAAGCTGTTAAGATTAAACATCTCTTATTTTTTAAACTTGATACCAACATCAATAGTACAGAGAATGTACCTAGGAATCCATTTGACAGCATGTCAATGCTCTTTGCCAGGATTATGCATATAATGACTCACCATGCTTACCACGTGTGAAAGATTAGGTCGGGTACACACCATAGCATACAACAAAGCACCAACGAACATTTGTGTAAGGAACATTCACCATATGCCTTTTGTCATCACCAAAACTTGGACACATGGAAGCACTAAGCTTGAAATGAGGAGCAAGTGGTCTGTTAGTAGATTTAGTTGAATTATTCAAACCAAATCTTGCCTAACACTTTCCTTTGATATTGAGACTAATTCAATCAAATGGTACCTGTACTTTGATCTCGCTCTATCTCCATTCGAAGTATTTTTTTTTTTGCTTTGTCTAAATCTTTCATTTCAAATACTTTAAAAACTGGTCTTTGAGCTTATCAATCTACATCGGTGTCTTGAAAGCAATTAACATGTCATCAACATACAAGAGCAAATAGATAAACGATCCGTCATCAAGCACCAAAAATATACACAATAATCAAGTTGATATGAGTGTACTTATGCTCTACCATGAAGTGATCAAACTTCTTATACCATTGCAAGGAGATTGCATTAGCCCATACAAAGATTTTATCAATCTGCGTACCAAATGTTGTTGCCCAACTATGTAAAAACCAACTGGTTGTGTCATATATACCTCTCTTCTTCCAAATCTACATGCAAGAAAGTAGTTTTTACATTGAGTTATACAAGCTCAAGATTAAATTGAGCAACCCCACCAAAATCCGAATGGAAGAATGCTTTAACGCATGTGAGAAAATCTCATTGCAATCAATTCCTGCCTTCTGCGCATAGCCTTTAGCCACAAGTGAACCTTATAACGTGTACCAAAAGAGTTCTCCTTTTTTGCATAGACCCATTTACAACCAATTTCCTTCTTACCTTTCGGAAGTCGTACTAAGTCCCAAGTTTCATTTATTTGTCTCCTCATTCATAGCCTCTTACCAATGTAAGTCATCCGGACTCTGAATAGCATCTTTATAGTCATTGGAAACTCCATCAATCATAGGGAGAGCATATGCTATCGTAACATCAAACCTCACACGTTTTCAAATTCCTTTTCCTAAATACTCCTCCACCCCACCAAGTTTGCATTCACCGTAGTAGTGTCTTAAAAGTATTTTATAATCGATTTCTTAATTGATCTTAATAAAAACTACGAGTATTTTACACAAAAGAGTGGTATTCAACCTAACTTTAATCTATAGATTCATATTCTATTAGATAATCCGGATATAATTCCACATCCATGATGCAAAAGGTTGAAAAACCCTGCCAGCTTCATTCACTACAAACATTGTAAGTACAATTATGTGTAGGCAAACACTGGTTGGAGGCTTCTTTAAGAAAAAAAACATTAATGATTGGTCGGAGAAATCTTGGATGGGATATTACCAAAGACACAAACAGTTATTTACCCGACGACAGGACAACAACTCAACCGACAACGACTTCCCTCTCCCATAACCTTGGAATTGTCAAAAGAATCTCGTCCTTTTCGTTAAGATTCATATGTTCATTATGATCCATATTTTAATATACTGAAACCGGCCAGCGGCGACTTTTAGGTTATAACTCTCTTGAATAATATGTCAACTTTTTATCTTTCCTAGTTTTCAAGCATCACCAATGACTCCTTCATTGGAGATGCCAACATGGTTCTACATCGCCTTGATGATAATGGCGGCCATGGCCACGGACGATGAAGTCAACCGGTCAGCCATCGCCTTGCCGGGCTGCTCGTACCAATGCGGCGGAGTCGAGATTCCATATCCATTTGGACTCACTCCTGAATGCTCCCTTAATGAGGCATTTCTCGTCACTTGCAACACCTCGATTCTTCCCAACAAGCCATTCATTGAGGACATTCCGATCATGAGTGTTTCAGTGGAAGATGCTGATTTGGTTATCGAAAATCTTGTGGCTAATTATTGTTTTGATGGCAAAGGAAATATCTCCGGCCACAATGAAACGCTTCTTAAGTTTGATAAGTTCACGATCTCGACGAAGAATATCTTCACCGTCGTCGGTTGTAGTACTGTTTCGATGATCGGAGGCATCCTCCAAGATGATGAGGATTACTTGTCGGGTTGTGCTTCATTTTGTAGTAGCTATCGGAATATGCCGAACGGGACGTGTTCCGGTGTCGGGTGTTGCCAAATGACAATTCCTAGTGGATTAAAACAGGCAAGATTTTTGTTAAGAATATTTAGTATTGAGTTATAGTTTACCATATTATATTTGATATTTTATTATAATCAAATATCTAGATATTTGTCTTTTATTATGGCTTAGCATCGGTATCTTTTCATTAATTGCTCTTCCCATCTATTATTAACACTAAAACTATTGTATGAGAATTAACGAGATTGAATTAAATAGATGAATTTGACTGTGGTGGGAAGCGATGTGACGAACGGTTCGGATATATTTTCGTGTGGGTACAGCTTCGTGGTGGAGGAGGGTGAGTTCAGGTTCTCGCCGGCTTATGTTCCACACTTCCCGAACGCCACAGTGCCCATGGTGTTGGAGTGGTCCATCGGCAATGAGTCGTGTGAGGCGGCTGCGGGCAGCCAAGGGTTTGCGTGTCAGGGAAATAGTAGCTGCCTGAACCCTGGTTTCATGGGGGGCTACCGCTGCAACTGCTTGCAGGGATTCACTGGGAATCCATATTTGCCACATGTTGGGTGCCGAGGTACGTAAAGTTACTTTTTTTTTTTTTTTTTTTTAATTTTTTTAAAATTAAAAGTATTGATTTTAGTTCTTTTAAGATTTGCAATTAATTTCAATTTGGTTGGTAGGATTTTAGAAGTTTATATGTTTGTCGAATTTGGAACTCCAAACCCTTGGTAGTTCTTTGATGGGTAGAACTTTCCCTATGATCTGTTAGACACACGACACTAATGACGTGAAGGAGTTTTGGCTTCAACCCACAAACTGACCACATGTCAAATAGTTAGTGTGTGCATGTTCAATCATTTGCGACTCTAGCTAATTTGCCTCTACATTAGGTTGACTCAACCTTACCTCTACTACTCTAGACCAAGGTCTCTCATAAACAACGCTCACATGTCATCATCATCTAAGTTCCAATCGAACGATCCATGCATCGTGATTCCATCCCGTGTCTTGAGACAGCTTAGGCATTGCGGTTTGCTCAAACATATTAATCAAAATTGGCCCACATGTTATTCATCTTATTGGAGCATTCTGAACATCCATCCATCTGAGTTCTCATTTGGCATTGGACTCTCTCATGTCCATGCTAAACCATTTACATCATACGTTTTGGATAGCTAGTGTGTAATCCAACCTTCAATACATGGGTTGGGGCATAATACCAACACACCCGTGTTGTTTGGTACTGTCCTTGAAAAACTCATTTCAAAGGAAGATGCTCAAAACACTAGCCCTCACTGTGACATACAAATGTGTCACTGGATAGCTCGCTTAGGCCACAAGGTCCAAGAGTGGTTTTGAGGCATTTTCAATATGGAAAGTGTAGACATAATTTTAGCAAACGGGCATACGATGTTATGGAGCGTCCGTCCAGTGTCTTATTGACACCAAGTTTGGCAAGATTTTATACTTCATATGGACAAATTTGGTTAAGGCCTAAGGCCCTACCCGACTCGTCAACAAGTCTATCTCTAATGCTTATGTCTTGTCTTCTCTTGAATGCACACATTATACGGTCTGTTGGGTGATACACCGTCATCCTCAGTCACATTATGGCACTCATATATATTGTCCCTCGTGTGGTCGAATGGCGTCACTTGAGGGTCGCTGCTTTGCTTGTCTCGATGTGAGGGTTACAACCTACTCTCTTCATAGTGTTGTTGTGACATTCTCCCCCACTTCAATTATTTATCGTCCTCGATGACTTTCTCGGGGCACAATCCCATCATGAATTGTTATGTTCTATCCCACTAAATCTCGGCATCGTCTCGATAATGACCCAAACTTTGGACTGCAGCTAACTTGACCCACTGTAACTGATTGTGCTTCAATAAGCACCTACTTCTCTTTTTTCCTAATGCTTCTCTTTCTGATGCCGGTTGGTTAGTTTAAAGACATATTCGAGTTGATGGTTCTAACTCATCTTTGTCATATGGTACCACTTACTCTCTTTGGTCAGTTTTTTTTTTTTTGGTGAACTTGCCCCCACTTAAATTTGACACTTCTCTTGGCAAATCTACATACTCTCTAAGTGGCACATAACGACCCACCCTGTGGGGTGTGGCTAGCAAGCCAACCACAACATTCCTCTTCATGGTACAAACTCTTATGGGAGCGGAGTTTAGACTACTTGCTAACTAACTTGCTGAAAATAAACGTGGTTTAGAACGGATACGAAAAACTTGTGCACACTATCTACGAGCTATCCTACTTTCGAACTTATTCTCTGTTCGCTTATCTCACTTCTTTTATCATCATGCTAGTCCTCTGACCATTTACTTTTTATCACAAACTCAAGTGCTCTAACCTTGACTAATGAAGCTCACAACCCAAATTGCAAACCTAACATGCTATTTAAACTATGCTTCCAGCCCAACTGTTGAGAATTATTATGAAGAGTAGTCCCACATTGGCTAATTAAGAGGAAGATCATTGGTTTACAAGTAAGGAACATTATCTCCATTGGTATAATGCCTTTTGAGGAAACCAAAAGTAAGGTCATGAGAGCTTTTACTCAAAGTGAATAATAGCATACTATTATGGAGATTCGTGGTTCCTAACATAGTATTAGAGTCGTGCCTTTAACTTAGTCATGTTAATAGAATTCTCAAATGTCGAACAAAGTAGTTGTGAGCCTCGAAGGTATAGTAAAAAAGTGACTCAAGTGTCGATCGTTGGGAGAAGTCCCACATTGACTAATTAAGGAGTTGATCATAACATCATTATATCGTACAATCTCGGCAATCATTTAGATATTTTCTTATTCAGCTCCTTGTATGAGGGTGACACATATGTTTGTGATAACTTACTCTATTTGTTTGTTCAGACATAAATGAATGTGATGATCCAAATGAAAATGAGTGTACGGATATATGTATAAATACGGTAGGAGGTTATCGATGTGAATGCCCAAATGGATACTCCGGCAGTGGCAGAAAGGATAGCAATGGCTGTGTTCCCCGCCGCCGGTTTCATACTCTCATATTAGTTTCTGGTATCATATTCCCTCTTCCAACCTCTTCTTAAATTATCACTGATTCATAATATAATATTGTTACAAAAATAATTTAATCTATGAATCAATTTAGATTCTTCTTTTCAAGTTTGTTTAAAATTGGTAATGCACATTTTTTACACGTGTCTAAGGTTAATTTAAATGTAAAAATTCATATAAATTACACAAAAATTAGATAATAACAAATTTTCATTTTTTTTTTCTCTTCTATAAAAGAATTATAACTTGAAAGTTGAAATTATGGGGGTAAATGGGTTGGATTTATTTATTTTTTTTTTATTTATTTATTATTTTTTTTTTTTTTTACCCACTCAAAATTTCGGGTGGATTAGGTTGGTGTTGAAGTAACTCAAAAATAGAGTTTCAACCCAACTCCAAAAATTAGTTGGATTGTCCGGTTATTTTTTTAATTATTTAAAAAAAATCTAAAATACACTCTCTATTAATAACTAAAATTTCATAAAATTTAAATATCAAACATTTATAAACTATAATAGGTTATTATTAACATCCATTACAAACATTAAATATTAAAAAAAATAGAATAGGGTTGGATAAGGTTGTACGGTCGGGTCAAAACTATCAGCTTCCGCAAACGGAACTAAATTTTTGGTTTTTGAAAAAAGTCAAAAGTCAACTCAATTCAATTTAAACCGAAAGAAAAAGAAATCTAATTCAATCCAACTATAGTTTGGATCAAATAATGAGTCACAAATCAAAATTGACTTTTTTCTCTACAAGTTAACTTTTTGTTTTTTTTTTTTGTTTTTCACCCGTCCTTTTACTAAATTTTTATCTAATAAATTTTTTATAAAAATATTTTAAAATTAATTGATTTATTAAATATAAAATTAGATACGAAATTTTAAAATGAAATAGTGGAAAGATTTATAAATACAAATTTTTTTAAAAAAAAATTGTAAGACCCATTAAATACAAACGTTGAAAATTATAAATAAATTAAATATGTAATTTTAATTAACAAAAAAAAAGAAATAATAATAATTTTTACCATTTGAACGGCAGGTATCGCGCTGGCAGTAATGGGTGTGCTTGTAAGTTCCTCCTGGTTCTTCATCGGCTTCAAGAGATGGAAGCTCATCAAACTCAAAGCTAATTTCTTCGAACGAAACGGCGGATTAATGTTAGAGCAACAGCTTTCAATCCGCGATGAAGCCAACCAAACTGCAAAGATCTTCACCGCAGAGGAATTACGGAAAGCCACTAACAACTACTCCGACGACCGAATCGTCGGCAAAGGTGGCTTCGGAACCGTCTACAAAGGCATCCTCCCTACCGGCGCCGCCGTCGCCATCAAGAAATCCAAGGTTGTCGACAACGTTCAAAACAAGCAGTTCATCAACGAAGTCATCGTCCTCTCGCAGATCAATCACCGCAACACAGTCAAACTCTTAGGCTGTTGCTTGGAAGAAGAAGTTCCTCTTCTCGTCTACGAATTCGTCCCCAACGGTACGCTCTTCGATCACATCCACAAGCGAAAATCGCCGCGGCCGATTCCTTGGAAGATCCGCCTTAAAATCGCATCGGAAACCGCTGGAGTTCTCTCCTATCTTCACTCATCGGCCTCGATTCCGATAATTCACAGAGATGTGAAGTCCACGAACATTCTCCTCGATGAAAATTACACCGCGAAGGTCTCCGATTTCGGTGCTTCGAAGTTAGTTCCCTTGGATCAGGTCGATTTGAACACAATCGTGCAAGGAACTCTCGGATACCTAGATCCAGAGTATCTGCAAACCAGTCAATTAACAGAGAAGAGCGACGTGTACAGTTTCGGCGTTGTTCTCGTCGAATTAATGACCGGAAAAGTTCCTCTATCCTTCAGCCGATCAGAGGAAGAACGGAATCTGTCGATGTACTTTCTAATTGCTCTGAAACAGAATCGGCTCAGAGAAATCTTAGATAAAAACTTGGGCAGCGATGTGGAGTACGAGCAGCTGAAGGAAGTTGCGAGCCTTGCGAAGAGGTGTTTGAAAGTGAAAGGGGAAGAAAGGCCGACAATGAAGGAGGTCGCTGCAGAGCTTGAAGGCTTGTTTCATATGGCGTTTGGTCATCCATGGATGGTTGATGATAAATCTCCATTAGTTGAAGAATCAGAGGCTTTGGTGAGTGAAGAAAAGGAAAAGCAGAAGGAAGATCGTGTTGATTCTGTTCGTCGCGAGGTTGAATCTGGAACTGAGTGTACGGAAGGGAGTAACCGATATGATAGCTTTCCCACTCACCAAATGATACCAAAAGCAGATTCTGGGAGATAATTTGTATCACTTTTAAGCTTCTCACACACGATAGGGGAGTTTTTAAACTTTGTCTATTTTTAATTCCATAAATTTTAGTTCACTCGTTCTAACTAACTTTTTATTAGTGATGAACACTTCAATATATAGTAGGGGTACGAGGTGCGACCTTGTCATAATTTCTAATTCATAGTTCTCGTCGGTTGTTCTCAGATTCTCTAGTCAAGATTAGTTGAAATCTCTAGAGTATGCCTCCATAGAGTCAATATCGTTAAGGAGGCAATTCTCGTGTCTATCACCACTTATTTGTTTATATGATTAATTGCTCAATTGTCTGGTAAAAATCATTTAAATTTCATTCTTTGGCATACATGCACATTTAAATTTAGTCGAACAATTCTCAAAATCTTGATGGAGAATAATTTATCATAATATAGTCCAATTCTAGAAGTATTTGATTTTTTTTCCTTGCTCAATCGGGTGTTTTCACATATCCAATTCTCTTAGACATTCATTCAAGCCATAGAACAAGAAATTGGATAAAAAGAAATGGACTTCAAGCTTCTACATTTTTTCTCAAATTTTTTTTTATTTTTATTTTTTGCATTTTCGAGATTCATTCTCATCTTAATTAACCTTTCCATTTCTTCAAAAATTATAGACCTCCTCGTGACAATTCTATAGCTATAAGAATTATCAAGAACTGTCATCTATGCTAAAAGATATCGAATATAGAAGTTTTTGATACCTTCTGGAGAGGATTAAACAGGAATAAGAATAAGAGAGATCCACGAATAAGAGCATGTCAAACTAATGGGCATACTTTTGTTCTCTTTGATGGGTCTCTCCTATAATAAATACCTTTTGTATTTTCAATATATCTAAAATTACCAAAAATAAAAAATAAAAAGGAAAAAAAACTTTGAATTCCGGATTTGAAACAATAGATGAAGAGTATAAAAGAGAGGAAATGAAAGAAAGAAAAGAAAAAAAAAAGAATAAAAACGAACTTCCTATATTAAATGTTCGATCAAATTAGAACATTTTTTAGACTTAACCGAAATAAATGTTTATTTATTTTCAAATATTTTTTTTAAGATTTATAACTTAAAATTACTTTCCAAATAGTTTGAGCATTTATGATTCAATTCAATCTAAATGAGTTTTCAAGGAAATAATATTTAAAAAAAAAAAAAATTAAAAGCTTCACAATATATCTACGTTATAAGCAACATAAAAGTGATAATAAAGTGATCAATTTCAACTCATAATAACCCTACAATTTTGAACTTCATGCAAAAGTCCATATCAGGTATACTTACAAAGTTTATTCTGAACAGAATTTCTCCATAAAGATAGCGTTGGGGGAACCATATATATATTGTAAAGATCTTGTCTAACATTCGTTTTTTATTCAATGATACAATTGCTTGTGTAGACCATCATATTTTATTAGATTGCAACTCATGATTGCCATCTCAACTCCTTAAGCCACAACCTCTACTATGGGATGTAGTTAATACCAAAAAATTTGAGGCAAAAACTTCATTTACATTTTGCATTTCGATACTGAAAACATAACACAATACGATACCTCGATAAACCTGTGGCAAAAAGGTCCTCCTACTCCTCAAGGTTGCTGCTTCCACCTACAACATGAGCAAGGCGAAGCAAGTTGAGCCGTCCTCCTCTACGCATTCCTCACACGTTATGGCAACCATCTGAAGCAACGATTTCATTTCAGCATAATGTGAGCGAGGTTTTATACAGTTCGTTCTTCTGGTTAGTCGGCATGTAGATGGTGCTTCTTCTTTCGGCATCGGTTGATATACCAAGTTGCATACTTCTGCAGACTTAAGCCAACCAAAATCTTGAGGCTTATGAGCATGACATAGGTAACGCCCAAGAGGAGAGGAACTGAAAGAAACCTCCATGGGAGAGGATTGTATGGAAGAAGGGCAGCATATACTGGAGTTAACACGCGAATGACCTATACACCAAATGCAACAACACTTTATGCATCCAAAATTTTGAACTAAAACGACCAAACATGCTGCTCATAATCCCCAAGTAAAGATCCATTTTGGGCAGTTCAAGAAGTCTTCATAAATGTTCATGAATCTTTAGTGCACACATGACAGGAACAACATTTTATGCATCCAAAATTTTAAGTTTAAACGTCCAAAAATTTGAACTTAAACGAAAAAACATGCTCATAATGTGTCATGGCAACTTTTCAATCATTAATGAAAAATTTCTTTTTCCATTTAGAGAAATATTTGTCTAAATTATAAAATAAGCATCCTTACCACGCATGCCGGCGCAACGGGAACAAATGTCAAATTTTTCTTTGCATCTTCACATGGCATGTTAAGAGCCTAATGATGGATGTAACAACAATTGAAAAAGAGTTACATTATGTATATATGGGACAATATATTAATGAATTAAGGAACAAATAAAAAGATAAATGAGAAAATCATGAACCTGTTTGCAAAGGTCTTCAAGAAACTCTGAGTATGCGATAGGCTTTATGCCGTTGAATTTAGCTAAGAATGAGTGCTTTATGATATCAATGAGCATTTCACAGATGAAAACCATGAGGGCGTTCTGCAGCCACCCAAAAAAAGTTTTAAGAAAAGTAGTTGCTGCTAATCAATTTTCATAATAAAATGTTTCAAGTAAATATGGCCGAGAGAACTTACATAGAGAAAACTCCCAAACCAGGGACCCTCCGCCTCCAATATGTTTTGAGCCAGCACAAACAAGAGAAATGCCAAAATGTGGAATCTTTCGATTGAATCTATCAAAAGAAATAACATCAAAGATGTAGTAGGATGCAAATGTTATGCTTCTATTTTACTACTTTTGGATCTTATTTGATGGGATTTTGTTGAAGTTTCAGATTATGTGGATTTACTAGAGTTCATTTGCTACAAGACTCCTGATTGTGACTGTGCAGAAAAGAAGCTGACATACCAAAATAAACCAAACTGTGAATATTGTCTTTGCTGTAACGTTTAAACACATTGCTTTTTATCTCTGCGAAGTTATTAGACACCAGCAAAGCAAGCAAGGCGTTGTTATGAGCCACTATACAGGTGGACAAGGTAATTGCCTGAACTAATAAGATAAAAGAATGAACAAGTATGAATAGTCAAGGAGCCAAAGGAGAATCATAATATCTATAACCATGAGAAAAATTCCAAAATTCCAAAATTCCAAAATTCCAAAATTCCAAAATTCCAAAATTCCAAAAGAAGGATATTTGAGGCAGCCACAGCGAGAACTTGATCAGAAATGAATCTTCCGATCCAGAAGCCCATGTTTTCAGGTGGAGAATTTGCAAGTCCCTCTGCTGAATTAAATAAAGTTTGCAACACATCTCCACCAAAACTTTGAAATAGTTTATCAAATATCTGAAACAAGGGGAAAAGGATAAAGAATATTGCTTTTCTGAAACAATAAAACTTTTCATAGTAATCAATAATGAACAGAAACACAATAGTATAAGCAATTTTCCCAGAGATACAAAACAACAGAATGTTTGACAAACATAGATCAAAACTGCAAAAGGAAGAAACCTTTTTTCTCCAACGTCAAACTAAAACTAAAAGAATACTCTTCTTCTTGGTGGTGTCCATACCATAAGGGTCGGGGTTGGAGAGAACCCCCTCCAGCATAATGTTCTTGAGGCTACTCATTGGAAACAATGATGGATTTAAAGGAAGTTTCAAAAGATTGGGAGGACATTAGGAATTTAGTCAAATTCAGTCTTGATTTAAGTGGTGCACTTACAGAGGTGGAACGGGTGGGCAAGCAGGGAATTGTACCCTCTTAGTAAGTTGTAATTCAAAAAGTATATCTAAATACTTACATTAGGAATTTAGTCAAATTCAGTATGGGTCTAAGTGAGGCACTTTCCTGGGTAACTACAGATGTGGAACGGGTGGGTAGGCAGAATTGTCCCCTATTAGTATGTCATAATTCAAAAAGTAAACCTAAAAAAATGTGCATTATAGTTTTTGTAGTTCAACTTTTGTATATATATACAAAGTTAGATGAGTTTGTCCCTCTCTACAAAAAAAAATATGACTTCGCCATAGTTGTTTTCACATTTAAACCAACTGAGGTCCTTTGTAAGCATCATGGCTCGAGGGAAGCTTAATCAATGAAAAGAATCTCCTTATTTATAACATAGAAGTCTAAAAAAAGAAATGGAGAGAGGGATAGACGTGGATCCACTTTCTCAATCTTTCTCAGTGTGGACATCAAAACAAAATCCAACGAAACCCAATTAAAATGAGCAAAGATGTTTCAAAATCAAGCTTTTGGAAATAAAATTCTTCCATCAATTTTAATAACAAGTTACTAATGACAAAATCAATCTTCAGAAATTGCACTACTGTTGGAATCATCTAACATTCATGCAAGTATCAACATCAGGTTATAAAAGGTATCAACGCACTGGTAGGAGTATTTTCAAAATCAAGCATCAAACATGATTACTCATCAAATTAATGATTCATGCATTTGAAATCTATCAAATCGATAAAGCACTAGATTAGAAGTAGGATTATTCTACACCCGATTCTCAACTAACCTCCAATACATTGTAAACAACATATAGTTTAATTGTTCCTTGACCACGAATCATGTGATAAATTAAGCTGATATCTGAAAAAGGTTTAAAATATAAAAGAAATATTAGCCACTAAAAAATGTATCATGAGTACAAATAAGACTTTTTCACATTCCACGGAACAAAATTATACTCATCTAGAAAGCATAGACACAATTTCTTGAAAAGAAACAATGTGAGGACATTCCAAAAATTCAAGTTGGAAGAGATTCTCATTGAAGGATGATGAGAAAAAGAAAAAAATGCTGAATATATGCACTTAACACCATAAAAGGGGGGAAAAACTAATTGTTCGAAAAATAGCTTATTTTAAGAGTCTGTGCACTGTGTCTACATTCACACTTACTCAGATACTCAAGCCACTAGTCTAATTGCAAAACAATTAATAAGAAAAGAGAACAAAAAAACTAGAATCTGAAGACATCGCATACCCGTCAATTCTAAGAGGGCAACTCCGGATGCCATTATTAAAAAACAGCCAAAATCTGATAACTCTGCTGAAGAAAGTCTTCCAAAAGTCCTGTTACGAAGGTGACTACGTAAATTTTTAAACATCATTAATTACTTTGTGTTTAAATCAATTAGAAACAACGAGCTAATCAATATCTTGTTCAAGGACATGATGCTTGTTCAGGTGAGAGATATCAAAAA